AAAAAATTTAGTGGCTACGAGTCGTAATACTTCATAATTTTTTAGTTTTTCGTTTAGCAAAAAACGATCCTATTCATTTAAAAACTTCACGTGCAGACGACTTGTTAAAAAGTATATTATTCTCTGTCGTCCGGCGCGGCGTCCTGAAGTTGCCATTGTTACTCCGACGAAACGTAAATAAGGAATTTAAAATTCTATTAAAAGTTTGAGCCCTAGGTGATAACAGTAAATATTTTACTATTCAAAAAAAAAAACGAATGGTGAAAAGTAGCAGGAAGCGTCAGTAAAAAATAGCAGGAAATGTAATAGTAGATGCAGAAAAAAATGTGGAAAGTTCTAAAAAATTAACTGCTTTAATTTAATTCCTGTCTTATATTCTATTTTGCGCTAATGCATTATCTACTTATTCCGTCTCACATTTTGAGGAATGTAATTAACACTTTACTTTTTTTATCTTTTTATAGAGTTATATGAAACATTTATCTTTTCATCAATGTTTTGGTCTTTGAACTTTTATCAATGGGTATATATTTCCGTCGTGTATGGAAACGGTCACTAGTTGCACAAGAACATCCAAAAGGTTCTCAAGTTCAGATATCTCGGTAGTTGGATAACTGAAGATCTAGATCCAGACATAGAGATACGTAGCCTTAACTTAAAGCTTCAATATCGCTTTGTAAAATGTTACATTTACTCCATACTGCTATATTATGGTGTAGAAACCTGGACCATAAAGACTAATGTGATAAACTGTTTGGAGACCTTTAACATGTGGGTATTAAATCAAATGGGTAGAGAACGGGAATTGCTACCAATAATAAAAAGAAGAAAAACTGCTTATCTGGGTCATATATTTCGAAATCCCAAGTACCAGTTCTTAAAGCTTATTATAGAGGGGAAGATAGAAGGAAGGCGGGGCATCGGAAGAAAGAAATACTCTAAAAAGTGACTTAAAAGCATAAGGGATTGGACAAACCTCGATGCCCATCCACTCTTTAGAGCCACACGAGACCGAGAGGAGTATGCCAGAATTGTCGCCAACATCCCCTAATTGGATAGGGCACCGTAAGAAGAGTTTAAACCAGTCGGTGTGTTTGATTTCAGAGGATACCAGTCTGGAGGTTCCACGGGAACGCCACTGAGAAAAGCATATCTGGATTTCAGCCACAGGTCGTGGTGTCAGTGCTCTTCCGCAACGAAAATCACATGTCAGTCGTCAAATAACTGCCTGAAACGCTCGGTGTACTCCGTGGTTCATCTTCGCATGTCTAGTCGGTCAATACCCGCACACTGATGTAGTTTCTCTAGTGGCGTTGCTTTTGGGCACCCTGTTGCTATTCGGCACGCTTCGTTGGCCACGTCCACTTTCTTAACGTGTGGGCATGCATACTGGCACGTGGAAAAGCTGAGAGCCTTGGCTGTAGTATCGAGGAAGTACGGCTATGCCCCCCAGCTGTAGTATCGAGGAAGTACGGCTATACGGCTTTAGAGGAGAAGTTCGAAGTTTGCGAAAAATGTTGTTACGGAATGCTACCTTCAAAGTGATCTTTTACTCCGAGGTAGTGTCCGTTCCCGATGATCTTAAGCTTTCTTTTTTCTTCACTCGAGTATTTTAGGTGGAAAAGGCAGACTTGGGTTTTGGTGGGTTAAGGCTTTAGCATATTCCTATCATAGTAAATTGTAAGGTCTCGAAGTACTTCCTTATGCCAGTTTTTGACACCTTCGAAAGTTCTGTCCTGTACGGTCAAAGCCAGGTCGTCAGCATACAGGAAGTCTTCGACAGTTTGAATGATTGGTTGGTTGTTAGTGTAAACGTTAAACAGCATGGGTGATAGTACCACACTATTATATTCTTCTGGTTCCGCCAGCGGCTTTTCTTCCCCTTAAAAGAAATATAGAATCTCCTGTTTTCAAGCAATAAATTTAAGACGCTTGTGAATTTTTTATCTCCTCTTAATGCTGTGACCTTTTCAAGAAATAATCTATGACTATGTGTCATATACTGCTGTTAGATCTACGAACGCCACACCTGTAATAAGTTTGTCTTGGTAGCCCTGTTTCCTATGTTCAGTGAGATATAGGACTTGACTAGTACAGTTCTTTTCCTGTCTAAACCCAACCTGTTCGTGAATCAAACGAGGCTCGAGAATTCAATTCATCTTCTCTCGCGGAATTCTTTGTAAAGTTTGTACAGGTGGCATAATAAAGAGATTGGCCTGCAACTACTGACAACATAGGCAGGTTTGTCTGGTTTCAGCAGGGCAAGTATCAAAAGTATCAAGCAGAGAAAGCTGAAATATTTCGGACATGTAATAAGAGGTCCCAAATATAGGTTGCTACAAAATATCATGCAAGGAAAAATAGCGGGCAAACGAAGTCCAGGACGAAGAAGAACCTAATGGTTGAAGAACTTGCGAAATTGGTATGATGTTAATACAAGCATGCATATTTAGGGTGGCAGTGAATAAAATTAAGATAGCTATGATGGTAACCAACGTCCTGAAAGGACATGGTACATGAAATAGAAGATAGAAGAGAACAAAACTTTTAGCCGATATCTTGATTTTTCTGGGGATGAGTGTGGTGTTAGGGGAATAACGGCGTAATTTTTGGAGATTGGTCACTGTACAAACAGCAATTAATTAGCAATAGCATATGTCGCTGCTATGTGGCGATGCTGGCTTTACTGTAAAGTAAGCATATTCATTGTTTTTCGGAAACGGCCACAGCAATAAATTGTTTCTTGGCGTGAAATTTCGGTAATAAGTTAACAATCAATTCCTTATGATTCGCTTTTTGCCGATATCTTGGTTTCTAGAGGTGTGTTTTGAGCTAGGGGATGATGAAGTAGCCTTTGATGATTGTTTAATATACAACAGCAATTAATTAGTAATACAATATGCTACTAAGAAAGTTCCTGCACCTTCTTTCTTTGCCGAGGTATAGCTATGGCTGTTAGCTAGAGTCTTGGTCTGACTTGGAAATTATAAAATGGATATGCTAACTTCACAAACATATAACAACGTTCAGTTCTTTCAAAGTAAAAGGGCAAGCAAGTACACTTTGAGCGTTAATTGTCAACACATTTTTTGGTCTTTCTGGATGTGATCTCCGGCTGAGTTTTCCATTGACTAGTATTGGATGGGCGATTTGTTCTGATGTAACTTAACTAAAGGTTGTATAGGTTGTTATAGCAGAGGAAAAAGAGCGAAAAACAAGAGTAAAAAAGAAAATGGAGAAAAAATTCTTCCCTAGAGGCAATAACTCCCCAATTAACAAACAAAATTTCTTAACCATATAAAGGAAGAAGAAGGTGTGACGACTTATAAATAAAATTCTGGAACAAGGATTAAAATAAAAGCGGAAAATGACCCTGATAAACAAATTACAAAAAAATAACAATTGCAAAATTGGCACAATCATCTGAAAGTCATGGACTTCAATCAGCTGTACTGCAGATGGCAACACAAATTGGTACTTGTTTTCAAAATTTAAAACAAAATCGCAGAATCGATATTATTACTATTTGTTTTATAATTTTGTTGAAACATTTTGCTGCAATAGCTCCATTTAGTAATATGCTTACGGGTGGTTTAACCGGCTAAAATTAGTGACTTGTAAAGGGGTTATTGCTATGCGAGACATATTCATGACTAAGTTGAAATTTTGTTTGTCGAATAGTTTATTTATTGATTACAAAACAATTTGGAAATTGGGTTAGGTCAATATTGAAAAGCTTAGGTTAGTACAACTAATTTCAGCAATTGTTTGTAGTCCATCAAAAATCAAACAGGTCAGGTCAGTTGGAACTTATTACAATAATTTTTATCAGAGTTGTATGATATCTATTCGGTCCAAAAAAAAGATCACAGTTTTTTCCAAAAAAATACGTTCTCGAAGTAATGCCAGCTGCTATACGAGTACTCGTATAAAAATATCTGAATACTGAGCAGTTTTCTTAGGTTTGAAAATAAATTATGTGGCTGGGAAAAAACCTGGATAAAAAGTCGAATGAGGAACTAATTGCATCTACCCCTAAAAATAAAAAAGTTTTTTAGAGGTGCATTATTCTTATGTAAAAACACTTTCTTCTTCACCAAATAAGTTGAATAACAAGAGCCAAAAGAAAAAGCACTTACACAGTGGTGTATACAAACTTAAATATGGCGACTGCCCAAAAACTTACATCGGTCAAACTAGTAGAACTTTTAACAAACGGATAGCAGATCACAAAAGCGCTTTCAATAATAGAACAACAGATTTTACGTATGCATTTCATCTTCTAGATCATAATTATTCTTTTAATGACCAACTTTTGTATCTTGTGCTGACCTGGCCACGTCTAGGCTTAGCAAAATTATTTAACACAATTAAAAATATATCAGGAAAACCACGCATTATACTCCAGGGAATTAAGTAAAATTTAACCGTGCTCAGGACATCTTAATATCCAGGCATTTGATAAGTTTTTCCGTTAATACATACCTCTTTTAAGCAAACCTACATGTTTTCTGCAGAAATTTTGGCTTGGTTTTGTAATTATTAGCAGTTGGGTGGAAAAAATGCGATTTTTTTAGAATTTTTAGTCAAATTTGTCATACAAGGAGCTCGCTCATTTGCTCAATTCGTTTTTACGCAGTTTCTAGCGTTTATTGGCTGTTGTTGCTTTTCCAGATCTTTAAATCTATTGTTATTTCTCTTGAAGTACGGTTATCTTCTCCTCATAGGATTTTTTTTTATAATTTTTAGTCTATTTTCTACTTGTTCTAGTTTATTCTGGATTCTCTCGTTTTCTTTTTAAACACCTCAATATTAAGCTATATTTTATGTTCATAATCTTTGAATCATCTGTTGATACTCTAGGAATCCCAGTATCATTTCTGTTTTTATTTCTTTTATTTGTTTTTAACTTCCCTTATCACTTTCAATAACAACCAATACGTCGCCGTCGTCTTGATTTATTCCTTTTTTGGGGTTTATCTTGATATCTTGACGTCTTGATATGGATTATCAATATATTTGTCTGTATTTCCCCGACCAGTTATTTTGCCCCTTTTCCAAGTGTAACTTAGCTTCTACACTTTCGAATCACTTTCAAGACCTTCTCATTTTAAAGGTAAATGTTTTAGTTTTAAAATAAACTTTACGTTTATTAATAAAAAAGTTATCACAATTAAACATTAAACATTAATTGCTCAAAATTTATTATAATTTATTGTCACCACGGCTGTTTCGTCAGGGTGCCTTTTTCAAGTGATCTATTTTTGGCATGCGTTTAACTTTATAGTCCTAAACTGAATAAATTAAGAAGACTCAATTATAGACTGGTAGAAGGTGAAATGCGAACATAGAATCTGCCTTTTTATTATTGAAAGCCCTTTTTGCTCTACTATCCGTTTGTTAAAAGTTCTACCAGTTTGACCGATGTAAGTTTTTGGACAATCAACATATTTTTAGGTTTGTATACATCACTGTCTGATTGATTTTTACAAAATCATTAACAATGAAATCAGAAACATGATAACGATAGGCAGACCAAAATTACTATGAGTGGTGACATACCCAATGAATGGTTAACTTCAACATTTATTTGTCTCTCAAAAAAGAAAAATGCTAGAAAAAAGCCTGATGTCTCACACATTTAAAATGTGAAAATGTTGATATGGACATTGAAGAAATCCAATTTGAATTCCGTAAAAGCGTAAGTACCCGTGAAGCTCTCTTTACATTCAACGTACTAATTAAGAGATGCTTGGATGTGAACCAAGATATGTACGTCCGTTTCATAGATTACAACAAGATTTTCGATAAAGTCCTCCACAAAGAGCTAATGGACGTCCTCAAAGCAAAACAATTACAATACAATGACCTTCGAATTATAACAAATTTATATTATAAACAGCAGGCACACATACGCATTAATGAACACACATCAGAAAAGTTCGAAATTAAAAGAGGGGTGCGACATGGGTCTGTATTGTCACTACTACTATTCAATGCATACTCTGAAGAAATTATGAAAAGAGCTTTTGAGGGAGAAACAGCAGGAATAAAGGTCAATGGAACACCAATTGACAATACTATGACATATGCAGACAATACTATCATAATAGCCGACAACCTCCAAAAGCTAAATAGTTGAGTATGGAGAAGAATATGGATTATCAATAAACGTCAAAAAAACTAAATTTATAAGAATATCAAAAACCCAAAATAATGATGAAAAGCCTGACAATTAACGGCAAAACTTTAGAACAAGTTGAAATAAAAGTTCTAATAGAGAGAGCACGAACAATCTTCAATAAAATGAGAAAAGTACTTTGTGCAAGAGAACTGAAAATAGACTTGAGAGTTAGGCTGGCAAGGTGTTATATTTTCTCGATTTTGCTTTACGGGATAGAAGCATGGATACTTAATGCGTCGACTACTAAAAAGTTGAAAGCATTTAAACTGTGGGTGAATAGAAGAATCCTGAAGATATCATGGACCGAGCATGTAACAAACAACGAAGACATGAGAAGAGTCAACAAAAGAATGGAAATAAGTCACGAAAGCTGCAATAACTGGGGCATATTATGCGTAATGAAAGATACAACATACTTCAATTAATTATACAACAGAAAATCCAGCTCAAGAGAAGTGTAGGAAGGAGAAGAATCTCATGGTTGCGTAACTTGAGGGAATGGTACGGATGCACATCAATCGAACTATCGAGAGCGGCAGAATCTAAGATCAGAATAGGGAATGATGATTGTCAACCTTCGTCGCGAAGATAGCACATAAAGAAGAAGTACTTATATACTTTTTCTGTTGGATCTTGTTGTTCTTAATATATTTGCCTTGTTGTTGTTTATTGTGAAGGCTAGTGTTATTCCTTTTTCTTTATTAATCATGGAAAATCCTCAGCGAATGTCTACTTTTTAATTTTTTTCACGAAATTTGTTATAACTCCGGAATGTACCTCGGAAAATCGATTTTACGCAACAAAAAAACATAATAAAATCAAGGTGCCGGGTGGACATAAGAGTGAATACTCCACACTCTCTGGTTCCGAGACCATACCTAAAGAATGGACTGCAGCCACACTGCCCAATTCAGAAAAAAGGCGATAAAAGCTTATGCCCAAATTACAGCGGAATACCGCTACTAAATGTTGCATATAGTACCTAGTGATAACAAAAGTTTTATCAATTTATTTACAGAGAAGAGAAAATAACAAAATTATTATACTTTAATAAATATTGGTAACTTCGATTTCGCTTACGCTTTACAGTTCTTGTTTAGTATGTGCGTTAAAAATACCGGGTTTTATTATATAATCGAACATCATTTAACTTTGGGCAAAATGAATATGGCTTTAGATCATGTTTTCAGAATCTAGACCCAGGTGCTCACCCCTTTTCAAAGGTAATCATGCTGCAAGATAAGAGTGGTATCGGGAATATCGTCATGCATATATTGAGAATATTGACTGAGCTACAGTTTTATTTATCAATTAATCCAGATTTGTCGGATGTCTTACAGATTGGCGTCGAATAAGAATAAGGAGAAATGTAGTGACCGGGAAATCGGTTTCTGGCTGATCAGCAGTACCTGGATAACAGTGTTGGCGAACATTACCATATTATACACGACAATGCTCGTCCACATACTGCAAGTATTGTGTCACTAGTAGAGAGTATTGATCTATTGCCATGGCCAGCACGTTCTACAGACCTCAATCGTATTGTATATGTATGGGATATTATTCAAAAATTAGTCATTCCACATATAGGCCACTTTCACAATGCATTTGGCTTCTAAAAGCTTCTTACAATCAAAGGGACAACTTTTCGTCAAATCGACACTATTTTGAATACGTACGATACATGTAAAACTGTAATAAATGAATGTAAAGGTCATACTTTATATTACAAGTAATTTTTTTCAAGGTTAAAAAATTTTAAAATCACAATTTTTCATATTTATTACTTATGGACACTTTATATATATATTTTTTTTATTTAAAAACATTTCATTAAATAGATTTAAGTACTACAATTTGATTATTAATTATCTAAGCTAGATCTAGAGAAGATAAATATATATATATATATATATATATATATATATATATATATATATATATATATATATATATATATATATTATATAAATATCCAGTAGGATTTTGCAATGTAAAGGCTGAAACGAGAAAAGAAGTTATTTTTTTCTCATTTTCGTATATTCAAATTGTATAATTTTATAAATAAAAAAGATAACAAAGGAATAACCATGAACTAGAAATAAACAAAATTAGCATATATAAATTGATAAATTTTAATAATAATTATAGAATAAGAGAAGCAACAGGAAGGTATTCAATATAAGGGAAAATAAAAAATGATATTAAAAAAAGCAAAAATTAAAAAAGGTATATTACCAATTAATTAACTGGAAATGTGTTAGTATTTACAGGCCAAAATATCTTTCTCCTCCTTCATTTTCAACTAAAAATAGCTCAGAAAACCCTAGCCGACAAGTTTCGACAGGATCTCGAATATTCAGCAGGAACTACAGAACTAACCTTACCCTAGAAATGGAACAGTCTATTTTTGTAACAGCCCTTTCGATTCAATGAAAGCTGCATAAAATGACTAAAACTGCAGTTTTATAATTAAGGAAGATCCGTTTTACGAATCAATAGATCATAATTAAATAGAAACCTAAATATAATGGAAAAAAATTCGTAGAGAAATAAACCTATCATAGAATATGGTAGACATAATAGACATGCAACTTTGGTTCTAAAAAAGACGGGAACACTTGACACCCTTGATTAGTTATTATAATCTAAAGAACTTTTGATATAATAAGAATAAAATAGTCTAATTAAAATGGCTATTGCTTGCTGTAGCACCTAAATTATGTATTCTATCAATTAAGAGATTTAAATGGTAAGATTCGATAGTTATATGGGTTAGAATATTAGAATTGATTAACCAACTACATTAATTTTTTTCAGGTTTATTTTAATTTATAATGGTTGTAAATATTATCTACATAAACTTGGTGGCAACAAAGAAAAACTATGATTAAAATGAGTGAATTTAATATATGGATAAAGCATGGAAAGAATTGAATTATTTATAAAATAGAAAGTATAATAAATTATAGTTGCTTAAAAACTTACCAGTAGTTTAAAGAATATCAAAAACCTATCGCAGAAAAAATCACAAAGATACGTGTCAAGACGACCGACAACAAAGAATCGCACAATATTCAAAAAAGTCTTTAAACAGTTTGTACCATGATCTAGTTTATCACATAATTTTTGTTTCTAAATCTATTTATTGCAAGTGAGAAGGTGGATGGATATTCCGCGATCGCGTGCCGTACACCCCACCTCGATTGCCGGCTTCCGACTGTTTCAGTCAGAAGGTTTCATACATCCATAGTCGCCTGTGAGTCTAAAAGCCGGTATTCCGGGAGCCGAGCGGCTACGAGGTTACCCGAACATTTGACAAACAGCTGATTCTGTTGCTACCTCGATTTTAGCAGATCCCATCGCCGGTGTTTATTAGTCAGGACGATAATTTGTCCAAATGAATTTACTCATTAATAAAACAATGTAAAGATTGTTAAATCGTTTAACAAACTCGTTACACTTTCTATATATACTACAAAAGTAACAAAAACGGGTTCATAAACGTTCCTCAAATTGTCCAGGTTGTAATTCTGATTCAGTTTCTTTGAGGATTCCCGTTTAAAAATTTCCCCTTTAACACGTTGCCTGTCGTAGAGGATTTTGTAATACTTTCCCATTCACGCCATAGTGACCGAGCCGGCACCACAGTTACATTAAAATTTTCGTTCAATAGACCTGCTGGCGTGCAGGGCAATTTTTTTCTCGGTCTCATAGACCGAGATGGCAGGCAATGTGTTAAACAAATCTGAAGGGCACTGGGCGAAATTTTTGGACAGAAATTGTTTAATCCTTTAAGGCGAAAGTTTATTATGATGAACTTTTTTCAAAGTTTTTTCAGATAATAGTTTGGAATACTATAGTTAGTACATCAGTTACTAGATTTTGAATATATTTTTGTTTTTTATGTGAAAAAAAAGGTGGTCAATCGTTGTACCAGAGTTCAATCAAGGAATAATTTTCATGCTAGTTTCTCTGGTACATAGGATGTATCAAATAATAAAAAGTGTATCAATAATTGGTATAGGCACAGCCACCTTTACTTCCAAGCCATGAAGTAGAAATTTGGCAACAATGCGTGGTAGTCCGACCGTGGTTTGTTTTGTTTAATATTTCATATAGGATGGCTTGTAAAGTTTGTTGAATTTAGTGTTTTTTTAACTTTATTCGAATGTTTTATTGTAAATTGTGTTTAAATCAATTAGAAAATATTAATATAAGTGAAATTTCATTAAATTTAGAACTTTTAGAAGATTCTTAACGACAATTTAAAAGGCAAGTATAAATATAACCTACAAAACAAACTGAAAATAATAATACTTTTGCTTCTTGTTACAAAATATGTAAACTAAAAACAACAATAATAATACTTTTGTTTTTTGTTACAGATACTCTGGCATTGTTGTGTACCTCGTTGCAAAACCAATTATGCCAGTACTTTAAAAACCAAACAGGCAGAAAGTACGTTTTCGTTTCTCAAAGATCCCCAAAAAAGGTATACTGGGTTATTCATAGAGAAGGCTATACAATTACCAAATCTTCCGTAGTATGTGCCAAACATTTTCATGAAGATGATATTCAGCGTACTGAACAATAAGAAGATAAAGATGGAAATGTACACATTGAAAAGTTAATATTTCCCAAATTAAAAGGCAATGCAGTTCCTAATATATTTCCTGAAGTACCATCATATGTAACTGTTCATCGTACTAAAGAAAGAAGGAATCCCGAAGACAAAAGAAACTTTTTGCATAAGAAGAGGGAACAAGAGATAACATAATTATGACATTTAGACAATAGTATCTCATTGAAAAACTGGACAAGTAAAATTACAAGTGACTGTGTATATTTCTATGTATTAAACATTAATCAGTTGGGACACAAGTGTGATAATATTTGTGTAATACATAGTGTAATAGTTAGCAGTAATTTTAGTGTAATCGTCAATGTAGGTAAGAATAGATTAAGTAGTAATGATTTGAAATGGATTTTACAATATAGTAAATTAACAAGATGGTCACAATTACAGAACTTACTTTCTCATTTAGATCTGCTTTTTAGATAAGTGATAACAAATTTGAGTTACATTCAAAAATCTTTTGAAAATATAGGCTATTTTAAATCGATATACAAGTTATAAATGGTATGTTACATTCAACACATTTTTCATGTATACCTCTCTTAACTTGGTCTATATGACAAAAAACCTATTCATATTTAAAATTGCTACTTTCGTATACCTAAGTATGAAAATTCAACAAAAGTTATAAGTAAATAGTAAAATATTTAATTTTCAATTAAGTAGATTAATTTAAAACCATATATTTATATTGTGTCTGATTTCTTAGGATGAATTTTT